ATATTCTTTCTGATTTTTTCTGTTTGTGGATAAACATTGCATGTGAATATATATGTTTAAAATCATCTGTATATCTATTTGGTTATACAAAATGGATCATAATATGCATAATTATACAACTTGATTTTTAAATTTGGTATTAATATTATTTCTTAACCATTTTTACATATCCATACCTATAGGTTTACCTCATTCCATTTAATGACTATATACAATTTTAAGCGATAACCTTATTTATTTAACTATCTTCATTAAGACTTAAATTCTATGTTTAATTTGAATTACTTTAAAACATGAATAACCCAAAACTTATTTTTGGTTATTCACCAAAGTAGGATTATCCATGTCTGCTGCCTGCTTCAGCTGGTGGTCCAGGAAGTGACATGAACTTACTTACTAAAAGTCCAAAAATCAGGAAACATGGAATAAAATAATTTTTAAACAACATGCCATACTTGGAAGTACTATTCTCAATGTGTTTTTTTCTTTAACAGCTACCTTTTAGGTATTTATAAGTTTAAAGCAGGTTTGTTAATCTGAAAAAAGTACTATGAGTACCCTAAGAGTGTTCAAAAGGTTCAGAAACAGAAGGAAAATGGTAATATTTACACACTGCAGATTGGGTGTATTTATTATCTAGAACCATGATGGTATTATGGCAGCAAAGTTAATTATCCTAATAATATAAGTTTAATCTGTTATAAGTACTTAAAAATAACTAGCATTATTAGCATTATTAGCAAATAATTAGCATTATTTTTCTTTCTTTCTTTTTTAATTTATTTTATTTTATTTTTCTTCTTCCAAAAATTCAATTCCAATTTGCTGTGTGGGTAGAAGGAAGGTTCAGAGTTAGTTCTCAGTTATATTTGTAATCAGGACAGGGAAGAATAGGACTGATTCTTCAACCTTGTTGTACATATTTGATTCACTAGAGATCAATTATTAGAAGCCTTTGGTTCAGAACTGTTTGTATATCCAATACGTTTCATAAAAGTTGACATAAATAAATGTGTCTTCTCGAATGATTGGACACATCGTGATCATGCCATTCATCTTTTACCCTCCTTTCACTCCAGAAAATCTAGGGATCTCCTTTCTGGGATTCAGCAGTGATCTCCTGTATGATATTCTGAAGGTTTCTCTTTCTTGGGAAATGGAAACTATGAATTGCAGCCGATTTGCAGTTTAAACAGACAGTAACTCAAGTGTGACAGTAACTCTACTGTTTGTTCACCAGGCTGTTAAGCCTGTCACTTCCCAAGGCAGCCTCAGAGCAAAGTTTGATTTAATTGACCAAACCCAAGAAACAAAAACTTCCAGGTGCCTGGTGCCGGAAGCTTTTTGTTCAGGCCTGTCTTGGCTTGGCATTTAAAATGAAGAGAAATAAACAAGGCAAGATGATCCCATAAAGATTGCAAATACCAGAATAAAAATGTAATTTTGTAAGAGTACAAAGGAAAGATTGGGTTATAAATATTTGGGTCAAAATAAATGGTCTTTCTCTCTTTTATATAAATGATAACAAATTTTTGGATAGAAAAGGTAGGCACTAGACTAAAATTAGACAGTAACTCCCCAGGGGGTAGATCTTATTTATTTGATTTGGTTTCTTTACCTTGTTGTGAAGTTTTATGTGCAATGAAATGAGTTTTCAAGAAGGAATTCATGTATGGGGATACATTCCTTTAACACACCGCTTGATAATTTCTGGGGAGTTGTTTCTCCCTCTGGTGAAACCTCCCATCCATGGAACATGCCAGTGAGAGGGTTTCCCAACTCCCTCTCAGACACTACTTCTCCAACTAGACAGACATAGTTATTGCCCAATTTTTAAATGTTGGTAACTTACCAACATTTAGAGAAAACTGGTCTATATAATAATATGATCGCTGACCTGAATTTGGCCCACAGGATCCAGGTTACGGCCTCTTAGATTGCAACTTCTTGAGGAGGCACATAATGACCTCCCCATGCCCCAGGATCTGTCACACATGATGCTGAGTGAATGTTTTCCACATGAGTTGATTATTATGAAGAAACAGCTGTACTGTTTTATTCACCCTCATGATAACCCCATGTGACACAATTATTATCCCCACTTTATAGTTGAGGAATGAAAACTGAGAGTTTAGCAACTCTCTCGAGGTCACAAAGCTATCAATTAGGAGAGCCACGATATCAATCCAAGTCAATCCAACTCTCTCCAAAGTCTCTGTTCATAATTGTGACATAATCACTCGTAGCAAATCTCTCTCTCTCTCTCTCTTTCTCTCTCTTTCTCTTTCTCTCTCTCTCTCTCTCTCTATATATATATATATATATATATGTATATACACACACACATACCTATCTATTCTATTCATTGTGTCTCTCTGTAGTCATAGTCCAACTATCTGCCACCAAGCCACTGGCTGATACTGAGGTATCACCTACTAGTGGATTCCAGGACCATTGAACTAAGTTGCATTGAATGGAAGCTGGCTTTGGGAATTGTGAGTCCTGATAAAGAATGTGACTTCAGAAAAGGTCATGGGTGTCTAATGCAGGGTTAATTTGTAGGTTAATGCACAAGATGCTGTAACTCTCTAATGTCTTACACTTATTTTGTTCATTACCATAGCATATGGGGCTTAGGTCTGTAGGAGCTAATTGGCCATTTGACATGAGTGATGGCAAAGTCAGGGTTCCCTGTTAAGTGGATAGATTGTTTGGTTTCCTGCTTTCATTCTGAAATAGCTCACAGAAGAGACCCATGTGATGAAAACCATGGGATAATTAATAAAAGAAAGCCTTTCTTTGGTCTAGACCAAAGACTCAACTTGATATGGTAAATAGAGTTTAGTGATTTATTTTTAGACATATGAGCTTCGGAAGACTTCACTTTGCATCCAACTGTGACCACTTCCCCATAGGTCGTGCTCTTCAAAATCCCTACTTGTGCTTTAAAAACAAAACAAACAAATACAAAATAATAAAATGTAGGCAACAGAACAGATTATGCTCATTTCTTATAGGATAACTACATGGAAATGCCAATTTTATCTAGGCTTTTGGCCCCTGGGAGAGACTTGTCCTTGGAAATGAGTATTTATTGCAAAAGCTATACCCAGTGGGTAAAAATATAAGAGGGATTATGTCTTTCCAGTTTTCTGTCGCCCCTACTATGCACAGCCCTGGCTGCCTATGGGCAGGGACCTTGTACACTTATCCCTATCTTTAAATTCAGATCTTAGATCCTTTTCAAGAAAAAGGAAATACTTGCATACAGTGTTTATTTTGCTGAAATATAGGTTTGCTGAAATTACTTTTTTCTAATCTCTGATAGAGCCTTGTTCTTCTCAACTTTATTCATTCATACAACAGATATTTGTCAGATGATGTTATAGGACCTAAGGACGGATTGACATAATAGATACAGTTCCTGCCTTCCTGGAGCTGATTGAGGATAACATTTCTGGACATTTCTGCCCTCCTCCTTAGTTTCCTTTTTTCCTCCTTTTTTTTTTTTCCTGCTTTGTCCTCTTTCTTCTCTGTATCTGTCCTTCTTCTCTCTGATATCCCAATGAGAAGTGAATGGAGCCCTATAAACAAAACATCTGTGTCTATGAAAAAAATATTGAGAGGTATTTACATGTGCAGCTATGTTAAAAGGCCTAATTTCATGCAAATGAGCCAAAATGGGACATCCCCAGAAGAACTAGAAATATGAACATAGGGATAGATAGCAGGAGGCTTAAAAGAAGAAAAGGACCAGAAATATAACCATGACTTACACATGGTAGCTTCTCAATGCATGTTTGTTGAAATGAAGCTGGTTTAGAAAGCAAGAGAAAAGTCACAGTTGGCTGCTCCACAGAGAATATCTGGGAGATATAATAGATTTGAAATTAATGTTACAAAACAAATGATTTTGCCTCAAACCCCACCTTGGTGCTGCTGTCAAAGGTGGATAACTGGACAGAAATGGCCGTGCCACTCACCGTGGTTGTCAGGCATCATGGTCTGGGTGAAAAGTACAGGATGAGGGCTCAAGAGGCCTAGGACCAATTCCAGCTTTGTTGGCAATACATGGAGTGACTTGCGCAGGTCACAGCACCTCTCTGTCCATGTCATGCCCCCTCTCAAGTAGAAATCACAAAACACTGCTTCATCTCAAGGGGCCATGGTGAGAAAGATGAGGCCCAAGGGTGGAAATACTTTGGGAAATTATTAAAATCTCTGCACGGTCTCTAAGAGGAGACACCTTACAATTAGGTTTATAGTATTAAAAACAACTTGATATTGAGTGGGGAAAATATCCTACTGTAGTTGGTACTTTCTGATAACCTTTAAAATCAAAACCACATTTCGTTTCCTCTTCTCATGCTTCCCCATCTGCTTAAACTTCCTCCTTATTCCCTGGTGCTCCAGGTTTATGTATGGATGTGCATTTATCCCTTTCTTAAAGCTCCTCTGGTACATGCCTCACCCCCACCCTTTTGGGAAGAACATGTTGCCTGGTCACTAGACAGGCCATCAGCAACAGTGGTTTATCTCTGTTGCAGAGAGCTGCCTGACACTGGCATGTTCTCACTAGGTGCCCTGAACCCACTGGCTGCTCCTGCTGGGGGTAGCAAAGGTCCTGCCCTTTCAGACCTCTCTGGGGAAACTCAAATAGGCCATTTACCCTCAGAGTTCTCCACAGAATGACTGAGTGTGGAGCCAGAGTCACTGTTAAGATTTTCTTTCTGCTCTACCCAGCTTTCAGACCCTCCTTGTCTCAAGTTTAATCCCTAAAAAATATTCTTTATACCCATGTCATCTCAGCATCTTCTACCCGGGTCTGCAACCTGCATCACCAGCTGTCACTATTAACTTTCACTTGCTATTTGCTGGATTAAATATCCCTATGCACTTATCTGCCCCCTTCCTCAGGGTACAGCTCCCTGGCTTACCTAAAAGGGCATTTTATGGGTGTTGATGGTGTCTGCTAGAATGAATGAGTTCACTCTCACTAGTACCAGAAAAAAAATGATCATCATTTATTGTCTGCGTTCAAAAGTAAATGGTAAAATGAAAGATATCAGGGAATTTTTCAAGGATCACATATCCTCTGAGTTCAGCGATGTCACCAGCTCAGAGTCTATTATGTTCCAAAGGTCAAGAAAGGAGTCTGCAAGGTCAAAGAAAGGAACAAAGTCAAAGAAAAACTCAGCAAGCATTTTTTTAAAAATCTTTAGCATCAACTGAAATCTGTTCACGAGGGGGCATGTGGTTCTGGTCAAGGGCTGATTTGGAGAAGGGTTTCAGTTTTTCACCCCCTGCTTTATCATTGGGCTTTCAGACTTCCTAAGAGCAGGAAGGGGTGATTCCAGAGCTAGATCAGATTAGGAGATCAAAAGGCAGCTGCTATTGCCTAGCCACATAGTCCCTGGAAATGACAGAAATTTCCTCTCTCAGCCTCAGTTTCTTCATGTGGGTGAATGAGGGAGAGAGTAGGGCCACAAGACTGCTTTGAACAACTCCCCTACATCTCGTTCCTCTGACTCTAAAACTTACTTTTCACTGCTTATTGAATTCTGTACTATTATAGTTAGTCCTCTGTTGTTATTCAAACGGGGGAGGCAAAAGGTGAGGGGAAGAGAAAAGTTATGTTCAATATTTCTTCTTATAAGAATATATATGTGTGTGTACACGTGTACATATGTACGTATATGATAACTAGACATATTATAATTGAAAAAAATCTATTGTCCTGTTTTTCAAACACAAGAAAAAAGAATAGATTGTGTTAGTTTTCAATTGAAGAGTCTAAAGGGAACTGTGCTTCAAACATCAGACACAGAAAAAAGACAGTATGGGCCAGATTCACACTTTTTGAACAACATCCTTCCTCTTCCCTTCTCTCTCGTCCCCTTCCCTCCCCACTTTCCTCCCCGCCCCTTCTTCCTCTTCCCTTTCCTCCTCCTTCTCTGGTTTGTAACTTTGGAAGACTGGCCTCCAGCACAGGTGACTCATGGGTTCGAGAGCTTGTATAATGAGTCCAGTCTTCTCACTGACTTTTAATATACTTCAACCCAGGCGGAAAACATTTTGGCTGGCTCTTTTTTCCTCCTTATTGTGTGTTGGCTCTGTACTATAAAAACAGCCACGGCAGTGCATACTGGGATCTCCCAGGGAAACCCAGAGAGACCTGAAACTTGTCTCGAGCATTCAGATATCACCTGCAGAACACCACAGAGAGGTTCCAAGACCAATGTGGAGGACATTTTTCATGGCAGTTAGCCAGCATTCCTTGGCTCCACAGAGCACAGCAGCTCTGTCTCTGAATGCCAGAATACCATCTTCCACACTGACCACACCACACAGAACCCTGTGGAGTGTTCTGTCTCTAATGTAAACAAGAACCTGGCAGCCAGGTCAGACTATCACTTGGGCTGGGGAGGAGAGGCCTGCCAGATTCTAGAAAACAGTGCTCTGGCTTTGCTCTGCTCAGTGCACAAATAGAAAGTGGCATTACCTATATAGTGCATTTGGGGAAGCAGGACTGACTCCAGCCAGGGATCAGCCTGGAGCTTGGGCCACACTAGGCTGCACCTGGCCCTGTAGCGGCAAACTTAGAGTACCGTGACTCACTCCTGCTCTGCATATGAGCTCTTCAGGGTGTTGTGATGGAGTGTGTTTTAGTGGAGGGCATCCCTGGCTGAGACTCATTCTCCTGATTTTAAGTTTGCTTCTGCCACAAAGAAGCCTGGCATGTCACAGGGATCTCCCTTCCCCGCAGGCCCCCTATCCCCATTGTGTTTGGTCTGTACAGGCAGCAGAGGTAAAGGACAGAAGGGTATCACCCACAATGTTATGGAAGAGACCTTGATTTCAATTTTGATAAGTCAAGAGATCAACTAGAACTGGCCAGTTCTTAAAGTTTCACGGACTTCTGTAAAGCCAGTTTGCCCTCATTCAATCCAAGTGTTCCTGAAATCAGAGTTACTTTCCTCTTGGGATGATTCAGTGACCCAAGCTCCTTCCCTCCCGTATCCCTGCTCTCTTCAGCTCCTGTGTTCCATAATTGCCCTGGGACAGTCTCCAATCCCCAGGTGATCTTTAGCTGAACTCTTTTCTATATAAAATAATATTTAATTGAAGTTGACTGGAGAATACATGTTACTTCCAATCCCACGCAATTTTTATTTGATATATATTTGTTTGAAATATATTTGATTGAAATCAGGGAAAGAATTCAGCTTGTGTCTGGTCACCGATTTGTTTCTGCAGAGCCTGAACACAATTTCATGTTACCTTTTCATTTTAACCATTACCGATGGTTGAGTGAATAAAGTCTTACATATTTCTGAACTCCTTGTTTTGTTTTGTCTTTTTCTCTGTCCTCTTTATTCTTATCTATTTTGTTGCCTATGGAATCTCAGAAGTGTGCAGAAAAGGATCTGGGTCCTTTCAGCAGCAATGTCAACTCTGTGGCTTCCTGACTTGCCAGGCCAGGCAGTGCCCAGATACTCCATCATATATGACCTCTACTTGAGCTTCAAGATGTGCAACATGGTAACTTATCATTATTTTTCTTTTTTGGACCAATTCCTAGGATCAGCCTTTTCCCACTTCTTCCTTCCACTCTTTTGGGAGCTGATCTCTTCATTTGGAATCTAGGAACTTACACATTCTAAGAAAGCCATTTGTTGAGGGCTCATTCCGTGCCAGGCACTTGCTAAATGTTTTTCCTTTTTAACACACATTTCCTTATTTAACTAAATCCTCATGGTGATACCATGAGGTTGGCACTTTTATCCTTACTTTTATAGATGGGAAATTAAGAATCAGAGAGAAGTAGTAATTTTCCAAGATTTTACTATTCATACACAAAAGAGACAGAGTTTGAATTCCTTTTGTTGGACTTAGATGTTCTCTCACCTGCCCACCCCATGATTTCATGCCTCATAATTTTATACTCATGTTCTGGGAGATGTGATTCGGAGGTCCTTTTTCTTTTCCAAGTTAAAGTTAAGGTACTTATACACAGTGTGTGTGTGTGTGTGTGTGCACGCCCACGTGTGTGTGTGTGTGTGTGTGAGAGAGAGAGAGACAGACAGACAGACAGAGACAGAGATTGTGGTTGTGTGCTCATCTACACACTTTCATGTATATTTTAAAAGAAAAGAGACATAATAATTTAATCTTAGACAATGCAGCTTTTGGCCAGGAAAGGAAAGTTCCTTATGTGTCTCTGAAATAAATATATCAAGATCTGCTCCTCAGACCTCCTGGGGGAGTCTTGGTTTCTCATATCATTTTTTGATAGGGATTCAGCCTGCAGTTTATGAGCATCATCTTTCCAGGAGGCAGGAACAATGGCTTATATTAATTAATTCCTTCTCTACCTCCACACTTTGGAAAATGAGGAATGAGAGGCATTAAGAGGAGTGTGATTATGATCCAAGAAGGGACTCTGTAAAATTGGCACCTTCTTAGTCAACATTACTGCTGCCCTGTATGTGCTGACTCCCCCATTAGCACATCAGTTTTCTCAGCAGGTTACAAGGTTCATTCCTGGCAGCACACCAGTGAGACATTCATGTCACAGTTTTGTTTTTTTTGGTTCTTTTTTTGAATGAATTGGTGTGAAGACCCCAGCAAGGAGATACTGATTCCATTACTAAAACTTTACTAGAAACTAAAAAGTTTCTGTCTTAACTCTAGTGTTAACCAATAAGTATAAATTCAAAGCAGATAATAACAGGGAAAAATAAATGAATTATTTATAGAATGTGGATTTGAGGGCCAGAGAGAGATGAGTGTGAATCCTGGCCCTGGTATGTACTGAATCTGGAGAAGGTTTAAATCACCAATCTCTCTGAGTCTCAATTTTATTATCTGTAACATATTGAATGCAATAGATACCTCATAAAGTTTTAGGGAAGGTAAAGTAAGTGTCCATAGATTGTGTCTTCATTCTTTTGTTTACTTTGCTGTACAGAAGCTTTTTAGTTTGATATCTCATTTGACTATTTGTCTATTTTCACTTTTACTGCCTGTATTTTTAGGGTCATATCCAAATAATCAGTGCCCAGACCAATGTCATGAAGCTTTTCCCCTGTTTTCTACTAGTAGTTTTACAGTTTTCAGGTCTTACATTCACATATTTAATTAATTTTTTGTTGGTTTTTGTATAAGGTAAGAGAGAAGGTTCTAGTTTTATTCTTTTCCATGTGGATATCCAGTTTTCCCACACCATTAATTAAAGAGACTGTCCTTTCTGTAATGTGTGTTCCTGGCAACTTTGTCAAAAATCATTTGACTGTAAATATGTGGATTTATTTTTGTGTTCTCTATTTTGTTCCATCGTTCTGTATGTCTTTTTTGATATGTCAAATGTTTATACACATTATGGGTCTGGACTTGCTGACGTGATTGCTTAGGACATTGGGTCTCCTGACTTTTCTGGTGCATGAAAAAAGAGCAGTGGTTTTCTATTTTCCACCATGTAATTCCTGGAACTCTCTTCTTTGATCATGGGTATAAATATATGCACATGTATGTATGTGTATATGTGTGTGAATCTGGGGAGGGTTAGGTACCAATTTTGGAATTATTATTATTCTCTTGTCTCTATAACAGGGGATGGGCTAGGCAACACTATTGTATAGTTTCAAGGCTTTTGACCTCTGAATTTTCACCCAGCAAATATTTATGGAGGACTACTTTCTCTCTTTCAGACATTGGGCTTAGGCAAGAAGAGTCACTTTTCCTCTCTGAAGAGAGGAGACATAACATATAGACAAAATAAAAACTGGACAAAGAACACATATATTTAAGTGAAACAAACATGTTTTAAAGATAGACAGTTCTTAATATTCAAACAAGAAGGAGATTATCCATCATATCTTCAGAATTATGGCCGGAAATTTAGTTCCAATTTCCAATAATTTCCAATTATTCCAAAATAAGGCTTATAAGTAAGCTTGCCTTTAAGAGTCACTGTTATTCAGGGTGGAGGATATGAGGAAATGAAAATAGGTTGAAGTCTTTGATCTTATGAAGGAATTAGGCAATAAGAAGCATAGAAATGGAAAATAGTGTCAACTTTAACAGCATTTTAGTGCAGTGTTGGTGTCAAGTGGGGCCATGGTTTTATTTGAGGCTCAACTCAGAGAACAAGCTTACTTGATTGTCATCAGCACTTAATTCATGCATGCTGTTATACTGAGAGCTTCATTTTCTTTCAGACTTTTGGCCAGAAGCCAATCTCAACTCCTTGCCATGAAGTTCTCAACATGGCTGCTTGCTTCCTCAAAGCCACCTAAGGAGAAAGTCTTCTGTTATGGTAGGCATTATAGTCTTTTGTAATGTATTCAAGTATATATAATTATGTGCATCCTGTTGTCTTCGCCACATTATATTAAGTAGAATCAAGTTAACAGGTCTTGACTATACTCTAGGAAAGAGAATTATACAAGTGTGTGAATACTAAGAGGTGAGAATCATAGTGGCCATGCTAGAATCGAGCTTTGGAACCTTATCTTGGTTTAACAAGAATGCACTGAACTAGTTATATGGTATGGGATCTTCTCTCAGCATGGTGGAGTTCACAGAGAGAAGTAAATCCCAATATACTTTTCAGAAGTTTGCAGTCTCAGTATAGTAAATGTAGATAAGATGTTAATAAGTGACTATAGAATGGGGCACATAGGATAAGAATCAAGAAATAAAAAAAAAAAACAACAACAATAGTTATTGGAAGTGGAGATGGATTTCTTCTGTAGGATGGAAGAAGACTTTTTCATCAGGTTTATAGGATGGGTGGGCATTGGGGTGATGAAGAAAGAAGACAGTACAATTGTAAAACTGGACCAAAGAGATTTCCATAGCCTTCAGAAGTTAGGTTTGATCCCAAATATTGTCATTAAAAAGTTGGAGAATCTTTTATATTCCAAAGGTTAATTAATAGATGTATTGATTGCTAAGACAGTTATGAAGTTAAAATGAGGTGGTGCCAGAGAATTAAAGTAGAATTAAAAGCTTTGCAGGGAGTTTCCTGCTAGGCCAGTGTCCCGTGAGACAACTAAATTATATAGCAGCTCCAGTACAAAATCCTTTATAGTATTTCTGAATTTCTGAGTAAGTCTTATAACTCTACAGTACTCATACAGAGAAGTTAGCATCCTTGGAAAATGAGCACAGATGAAAATGGCCCCCACAGTAGAGATTTAAAATGTGTACAGCCTTTGTGCTGGCAGAGTGGTGGCTTTGCTACCTTTACCAAGGCAAAAAATTGAGCTTTCTCTTAATAAGGCATCATCTATCATCTGGTGCCTTTCATAAAATAATAGTTTGTGTTAAAAAACTGAACTTTTTTCAGGAAAAAATTCAAAGGATACTGTTTCCCTGAAGTGTTTTGCCCCATGATCCTTTCTCCATGAAAAAAAAAGTATCAATTATCCATATGATAGCAATTTTAACAACTTTTATTTTACTTTTTACTTTTGAGTAATTTCAAAGTTATAGAAGAGTTGCAAGAGTAATTTAAACAAAATCCTTATGCCTTGCACCTGTTGGAAACTCTTGACATTTATCACCTTTTCTTTTATAATTCTCTAAATACAGGAGTTCCTCTTTACCCACAGTTTTGATTTCCACTATTTGTTTTACCCATGACCAACAGAGGTCCACAAATATTAAATGGAAAATTACAGAAATAACTCATAGGTTTTAAATTTCTTGCAGTCGTGAATGTGATTAAATTCCCACTTGGTCCTGCATGGGATGTGAATTATCCTTTTATCCAGCATGTCCACTTCTTACTTCTATCCACTCCTTTCTAGGACAGGATGTTACTATGTACTATTATGTACGTGGATAAACATCAGTATCAGTCATTCAGATGTGTGTTAAAATCTCAAATATACCACCCAATAGCCGAATGTCCTTGAATAAGCTCCTTAATACCTCTGAGCCAGGATACTGGGAAACCTGGAAAACTTTTATTCAAGAGCTGGATGTTGAGTGGAAACTACTCCAGTGAGAAGAGAAAAATAAACTGGGGATTCCAAGGAGAGATACATATGCACTTGCTGTATTAGCTAAACTGTGGTGAGAGGTCAGGGTGGAGTTGATGCTTTGGGAGAGGGAGCATTGGGGAGGGAGGCAGGTCACTTCTGCAGTGGAATTGGATTTCAGTCTTCTCAGCATTCTCCACCACTGTTATGGTTGCTGGTTGATGCACATAGCCCAGTGTTAGGGACTGCTGGGTAGGTAAAGGAGGCAAGAAAAGCATTTTGGCAAATCACTTGGAGTTAGAGTGTCTAAGGAAATTATTTAAGTGAAATGTCCACACATAGGTTCTGATCTCTAAAACTCTGCTATGTCAGCCTGCTTGTTTTTAGAATTTATAATAATGAATGCTAGATTCTGAGATGGAGGATGTCTCCATGAGGGATGAGTTTATTATTGGTGGAACAAGCGTTGTACCTGTGGTGAAGGATTTTGGTGACTTAGTACGTGTAGAACTGTTTTTGTTGTAAGGATATTCAAAAGTTTGTCTCCTTCAGAGTCATTGGAATTTGAAGAAATTTCTGTGCAAGTTGTTTCAGAAACCCTTGGAGGTTTAACATTTCTATATCAGCCATATATTAGCCCATTATCTGCCTGATGAATCTGCCCCGATTTCTATCTCTATTTCCTTAAGCCATCAAATGCCAGTAGGGAAGCCTTACTCTAAAACTGGCCTTAGGGACATTTTGACACATGCTTCAATGTGGATGATAGTTGAAACACTATGTTAAGTGAAATAAGCTGGTCACAAAAGGATAGATACTGTATAAGTCCCCTTATATGTAGTACCTACAGTAGTCAAATTCATAGAGATAGAAAGTAGAATGGTGGTTGCCAGGAGCTAGGGAGTAAGAAATGAGAAGTTATTGTTTAATGGTACAATTTCAGTTTTGGAAGATGAAAAGAGGTCTGGAGATAGAAAGTGGTAATGGGTGCACAATAATGTGAACGTATGTAATGCCACTGAACTGTACACTTAAAAGTGGCTAAGATGGTGAATTTTGTTATAGTATTTTACCAAACTTAAAAAATAATAAAAGCGGGGGGGGCGGAGCAAGATGGCGGACGAATAACACCGCCAGACAGAGGGTCTCTTTTGAAGTACAGTCCCCCCAAGATACAAATAATACACAGAAAATTCATGAGGCACTTCATATACGCCAACAACAATCTAATTGAGAACCAAATCAAAGACTCAATTCCTTCACAATAGCAACAAAGAAATTAAGAGTACCTAGGATATATTTAACCAAAGAGGTAAAAGACTCTACAGGGAGAATATGAAACACTGGAGGAGAATAGCAGAGGATTAAACAGATGGAAATCCATACATGCTGTGATTGGGCACTCAATATCGTCAATATGTATAACTACCCAAACTGTCTACAGATTCATGCAATACCTATTAAATCCATCAGCATTTTCACAGATATAGAAAAAATAATTTTACGCTTCGTATGGAACCAAAGAAGACCCCGAATATCAAAGAGCAATTCTAGGCAACAAAAACAAAATGGGGAGCATTAATATGCCAGTATTAAAACTATACTACAAAGCTGTAGTAATATAACAATATGGTATTGGCACAAAAACAGGAATATTGGACCAGTGGAACAGATGTGAGAATCCTGATATAAGCCATCTCATATAGCCGTCTCTCTATGACAAAGCAGACAAAAAACAATACGCTGGGGGAATGAATCCCTTTCAATAAATGGTGTGGGAAAACTGGATAGCCACCTGTAGAAGGCTAAAAAGGACCCACACCTTCACCATCTAACAAACCAACTCACGGGATAACAGACTTAAACTAAGATATGAATATTTGAACTCTAGAGGAAAAAGTTGGAAACACTCTCCTAGAATCGCGTGCAAGAAGTTTATGAAGAAGTCCCAAAGGCAATCACAGCAGCAAACAAAATAAATAAATGGGACATGATCAAACTACAAAGCTTTGCACAGGCAAAGAAATAGTCATGAAAGTAAAAGACAACCTACAGAATGGAAATTTTGCATCCTATGCATCCCGATAAGGGACTGAAACTAGAATATACTTAGAACTCACGAAATTAGGAAAAAAATCAAAACCCCATTAAAAAGTGGGGAAAGGACTTGACAGAATTTTTCTAAAAAGACAGAAGAATGGCAACAAACATATGAAGAAATGCTCAACATCTCTAATCATCAGGGAAATGCCAATCAAACCACAATGAGATATCACTAACCCAGTGAGAATGGGCTTTATCAAAAATCTCCAAACAATAAATGCTGGCATGGTTGCGGAGAGAGAGGACACTCTACACTGCTGGTGGGACTGCAAACTAGTTCAACCTCTGTGGAAAGCAAATATGGGATACCTTAAAGGGATACAAGTGAATCTACCATTTGATCCAGCAATCCATTGCTGGGCATCTACCCAAATGTCCAGTGACACTCTACAAAAAAGACACCTGCACTCGAATGTTATACAGCACAATTCATAATTGCAAGGCTGTGGAACAGGCCAAGTGCCATCATCAAGAGATGGATTAATAAATGTGGTATATGTACACCTTGGGTACTATTCAGCTCTAAGAAACAATGGTGATATGCACACCTTATATTTTCCTGGTTAGAGCTGGAACCATACTACTAAGTGAAGTATCCCAAGAATGGAAAAAAGCACCAGATAATTCTCTCAGCAAACTGGTATTAACTGTAGCACCTAAGTGGGCACATATGTGCTACAGTAATAGGGTATGGGCAGGTTGGGGGGAGGGGGAGGGCGGGTATATACATACATAGTGAGTGAGATGTGACCATCTGGGGATGGTCATGATGAGATCCAGACTTTTGGGGGGAGGGGGGGAATGGGCTA